ATTTTATTAATTAGTTAATTTTTTAAAAAAATTACAGTTCAATTCCTCAGCCACTTTAGCCACATTGCCAATGCTCACTAACCACGTATTGGCTACCATATTGGACAGCTCGGATATAGGACACTTCCATCATCACAGAAATTCTTCCAAGTTAGAATGAAGAACCAGGCTCTGGACTCATGGCCTAGACTTTGGTCACTGTTCCACTGCTTACTTGTTGAGTAAATTGAGCAAATTACTTTCTGGGACTGAGTTTCTTTATCCATAAATTGAGAATAACGATATATTTTGGGGGAGGACACTGTCTGAGCCCTTGCCCTGTACTCTCTCCCATCCCCCGTAGCCCTGTGTCTCCCTTCTCCCTCTGATCACCTGCACAGTGTCACCCAGGAGCTGGTGGAAACAAAGATTCCTGGGCCCCACTCCCAGATGCTACATTTTTAACAAACTCGCCAGGTGTTTCAGGAGTCCATGAAGTCTGGGAACCACTAACCCACAAGCCCTCATCATGCGACGCAGTATGATCCATCTTGGGGACTGAGTCCAGCCTTCTTCCCCAGCCTCACCTTCCTCTTCTGCCCTCGAAATGCCACTCGAGCTCTCTTCCCAGGAACCCTCTCCTCCTTGATCATCTGGGGAATGTCTGTCTTTCCCCCTGCTGCATCTCACTTGCCGTCTCCTCCAGGAAGCCTTCCTGGGCTGCACAAGGCTGAGCTGCTCATGTCCTCCTCTGCGTGCTTCACAGCAACTTGTTTTCCATTGTGATGTGGCCCACCTTCCTCACTGGGACTGGGGAATCTGCAGCCCCCCAGGCAGGGTCTCCTACTTCAGATCAAGTGGGAGGGTGGGAGAAGGGCAAATAATGTCCTGAAATGAAGGCGGCCCTTCCTGGTCACCCACTGCCCAGGTTCACATTCATCAGTGGCTTCGATCTTTCCTCCAAACCTGTGAGGTTGGTGCTGTCATTCAGATTCTACGAGGGGGGACACGGAGGCAAAAGCGCAATGTGGAGACCACACTGCTGATGAACGGCGGAGCTGGGCCTCTGCCTCTGGCCCTTGTTCATGCCATGACTTGAGCTGTGCTCTTGTCTGCCCCTTAAGTTTCCCTGGAAAACGTTCTTAGAAGAAGTCCAAACTTTTCCCTGATTACTGAAGGGTAGAAGTGTGAAATGGGCCTACTCTGGGATCAAGGACATCTGGGTTTAAACCCTAACTTGGAAGCTCTGGGTCTGGGGCAACTGGCCTCTTTCAACCTTGGTTTTCCCTTCTGTGGGTTGAGGGGTTTCAACAAGACAGCGCAGGGGCAGGGCATGGCAGTCCCCAGCACACAGTAGGTGTTTTGTGTTTTGTATTTGATAGCTTTCTTCTCTCTATTCTCACGTTCCTGGGTCCAAAGAGACAGAAAGAAGAGCAGACAACCCTTGGAGACAGCAGCTGCACCAACCAGAGAAACAGGGAGAGCTGCGAGCTAGAATAGAAGGATAGGAAGGCCAAGAATCACGGAAGAAGAGAGAGCCAGAGCACACAGACGGAGGAGAAATCGGAAAGGGGGTCTGCAGGGGCTGAGGTTGCAGGCCCTTCTGGCCCTTTGCTTTCCCACCCAAGGCCACGTCTAGTGCCTATTACCGAGTGTAAGAAATAGTTCCGTAAGTGACATCTCTGCCAAACACTGGGGGAGATATGATATTGTCCTTTTTTAATTATTCAAAATCTCCAGGAAACCAAGAGGACTAAGGGCACTGAGTTCCCTCTGGGGACCTGGCTCAAGACTCCCCCGGTATGGAAGTGCTCTGTGCCGGGTCTCAGGCTCTGAAAGCCACCTCAATTCCTGCTTTCCTGGACACCTAGAGACTCAGGCCCAGGCTCTGTGCCTTCTTGGCGTAAGCTTTCTTGGCAATGCTAGTCTCCCCACTCTGTCACTTAGGTTCTCTGCTCTTGGGTTAATGGATGTTTGTTTTATTTAAGCGACAAGTCCTTTGTACGTCTTCTCCTATCCTTTGAGGTAAGAGAGGGGTATAAACAAAGAAGCAAGGGCTGGCTACCCTTATGTGGGGCATGTTTAGTGATCAGGAATTCTGTCCTAGCCAACAGGATAAAAGGGGTAAGAGGAAAGGGACATGAGAGAGGGGAACCAGGAGGTGAGAAGGGAACCAGTACCCGGCAATACCAACACACACCTGGTACATAGCAGGGCTGGTCTTCAAATCCAGGAGTGTGTGGCCAATGTCTAGGAACAGAAGCAGCTTCTCCACTGGCAGGTGGGGACTGCCACAGTGCGGGGAGGAGTGTTAAGGGAAAAGGACAGCCTCATCAGTCCCAGTGGCAGATGCCAAGTGCCTGCAAGGCCACAAAGACCAAGCTCTAAATCAGAGCTTCAAGCGCCATCCTGTGGCCACAGGGGAGATTGCAGGAGGGAACAGCAGGTGAGAACAGAAACCGGAGAGAGGGCAGCCCTGACCAGCACCAGGAAAGAGGGAAAGAAGGAGCCTGGTCTTTGTCCTCTGTGCTCCCTAGCAGTTGAGCACCCTGTTCCGATTTTACCCTCTCCAGGCGTCTTCCTGGTCCAGCTGGTGTTTTCTCACTGTGTGATCCTGGGCAGGCAAATCTGTCCTCTAGGCCTCAGTTTCCCCAACCACAAAATGAAGAGTTGGGCAAGGTGAGGTCATATGCCAGGTGCTGTGTGTAACACTGTAGCTTGTCTGATGCTCATGTCCAGGTAAATGATCATTCCCATCCCCCCATACTCCAGTCACTCCAGACCACACATTCATTTACCTGTAAAGTCCCCCACGGCCACCTGCAGAAATTTGAGCTAAGGCTGGGCTCAAAGATCACCTGCCCCAGTATTTCTCCCTCCTTACCTGTCATTTCAAATTGCCTCTTTCTGCTAAAGTTATAGTCAAGTGGACCTCATCCCCTCCAGCCGTCACCTCAAGGGCTTTTCTCGGTCCTAAAGTTCTCCCTCTTAACCAAGCCTAGCAAAGCGCCAGGCACCTGCTCGGACATCAGTCAACCTTGCTTCCAGCCCTGTGTCGCAGGCAGGATGACCCCCCCCAAAGACACGCACATTCTAATCTCTGGAACCTGTGACTACTTTACCTTACATGACAAAAGGGACGTGCAGATGTGATTAAGATAAAGAACTTAAGGCCATGTGTGGTGGCTCATGCCTGTAACCCCAGCACTCTGGGAGGCCCAGGTAGAAGGATCCCTTGAGGCCAGAAGTTTGAGACCAGCCTAGATAACATAGCAAGAGCCCCATCTCTACCGAAAATTTTAAAAATTAGCTGCGCATGGTAGCATGTGCCTGTAGTCCCAGCTACTTGGGAGCCTGAGGCAGAAGGATCGCTTCAGCCCAGGAGTTTGAGGCTACAGTGAGCTATGATCATGCCACTGTACTCTAGCCCGGGTGACAGAAGGAGAGACCCTGACTCAAAAAAAAAAAAAAAAAACAAATAGCTTGAGATGGAGAGATTATCCTTAATTATCACGGTCATCACAATATAATCACAATGGTCCTTACAAGACGGAGACAGGAGGGTCAGAGTCAGAGAAAGAGATGTGATGATGGAAGCTGAGGTTGACAAGATGCAGGGCCATGACTCAAGGAATTCCGGTAGCCTCTAGAAGCTGGAAAAGGCAAGGAAACAAAAGCCTCCAGAAGGAATACAGCCCTGCCAACCCATCTTGGACGTCTGACCTAAGAACCGTAAGGTAATAAATTTGTGTTGTTAGCGACCCAATTTGTGGCAATTTGTTATAGCAGCCATAGGAGACACCCTGGTTCAGCTTCTTACTAGTTATGTGACTTAGGGGAACTTAACCTCTCTATGCCTTAGTTTCCTTATCTGTAAAATGGGGATCAAAGCAACAATTCTCATCTCACAGGTTGTGAGGTTAAAATGAAAATACCTGCAAATCACTTAGAATAATGGCAAGAGTAAATATATTAGCTATTACTATAAATAATTAATAGCCACCATTAATTGAGGGCCTAATACGTACCAGGCACAGTGTCAGATGCTTTAGAAGAATTTCCTCAATTCTGGCCTCTTGGGGGTGACAATTTCAACCTCCACTTTACAGATGAGGAAACGAACCCAGAGTAATTTGCCCCAACTCACTCTAGGGCTGGAAGCACTGTAAGCTTTGCAGTTTCTTGCACGCACCTGGGAAACTGTCCTGGTTTGTGTTCTTTCCTGATAGAGGTGTTGGGGGAAGGCGGTAGGGTGGCAGAAGGAGGGCCACGGGCTGGGCAGCCAGGGGTCCTAGCGCCCTCTCTTACTACCCAGTGCAGGAGGAGATAAAATCCGGGAGAAACTCATCTATCCACTCCCATCTCAGCAATTTAGAGGTTTTATTACTGCCTCTCACTTTCTCACCAACACCCCTCCGCCCAGCAGCTTTTGAGCCGGGTTTGGAGGCACCATGAGGTAGGCAAGATCAGAGAGTGAAGTGTTCAATCCGCAGGGGAATTGCGGGGGGGCACAGACTTGCTCAGACCCCAAGGGTTCCCGTTGAGCCCCCTCCCTTCCCCAGCCTGCATAAGGAGCCATCTGTTCTTGGCTGAATAAACAAGGACGGGGAAGCAGCCGGGTCTCCTGCCCCTCAGCCCGACTCCAGCACAATGCGCCTTTCTCCGCCCGGGCGCCGCTGGAGCGCGCGTACCGTCTGGCCTCCCCTCCCACTGGCGGCGCAGGAAGACCCCACAAACCGACCCCGTGGAAATCAGATTTTTTTTTTTTTAAGAAAAAGAAAACAAAAAAGAAATCCAACAAAGAGCTGCGGGCAGCACGCGGCGAGGGCAGGCGAGTGTAGCACGCGTCCCCCGCCCCCACCCTCGCCATCCTCCCTGCCCAGCGCAGTCCGGCTTCTGGTCTAGGCGAGGCCAGCTCGAGCGCAGCGCTGGGAGCCGGCCAGCGCCTCCACCGCGACAGCCCAAGCCCGGAGACCCCGGCGCCCCGACGGCCCGCCAGGGTCACAGTCCGTGGGGCAGAGCCCCAGCCGGGTCTGGGTCATCAGTGGCCCTCACTGCTGGTTGGCCAGCTGGTCCTCCAGATCCTCCAGGCGCGCCGTCAGCTGGGCCAGTGAACTGTTAAGGAAGCCCTTGGGGTTCTCCTGGGTCCCTTCCCTCTCCCTCCAGCCGGCGCCCCAAGCCCCAAAGGATATGGTTCTGCGTCAGGCTCTCGAGCGCCCCCAGCGTGCGTCCCTGGAACTCCACGAGGCTTTCGCATTCGCACGGGCTCCGGAGCTCTGTCCCGGCGCTGATGCCCTCCTCTGCAAGCGGGGCACGGAAGGTCAGCGGAATGAGAAACTGCAGGAGGCCGAGCTGGCCCGGGCTTTGGCCCTCTGATTTATCTACACCCGGCCTACGGTTGAGTATATGGGCTTTGGATTCAGACAGACCTGGGCTGAGTCCCAGCCAAGAAGCTGTGAAATACTGGGAAACGCAACCTTTCTAAGCCTCGGTGTCCTCTTTGCAAAATGCACATGTAAGAGAATCTATTCATTAGTGCTTTCGAGGATTCATTGATCTGTGTGTGTGTGTGTGTGTGTGTGTTTAAGCTTACAACTTAACAAGAATGTTTTTCAAAACTCAATGCCCACTGGAATCATGAGGAGAGCTTGTTAAAATACAGACTGATTCAGAATGGAGACAGAGCTGAGAACCTACATTTCTAATAAGCTCCCAAATGATGCTGACGATGCTGGTTCATGGACCACACTTTAAGTAGCAATAGTCCAGCATAGCACTCTCCATATGTGACTTTATGCAACGATGGACGTATTCTACATCTGCCTCATTCAATGTAGTAACCACAAGCTGCATGTAGCTATTTAACACTTGAAGTGTAGCTGGTGCAACTGAAGACCTAAAATTTATTTGATTTTAATTAATTTTAATGAAATAGGCACATGTAGCAGCTATTGCCTACCTTATCGAAAAACACAGATCTAGAACATTGCCTACCACAAGTAAATACTTTATAGTGTATTTCAACTATGCCAGTGGTTCTCGAATGTGGTCCTTGGACTAGCTGCATCAGTATCACCTACGAATTTATCAGAAACGCAGATTGTCAGACTTCCCTCCAGACCTACTGAATCAGAAACTCTGAAGTTGGAGCCCAGCAATTTGTGTTTTAGAAAACCCTCCAGGTGGCTGTGGTGCAATCTGATGTTTAAGAATGACTGGTCCGGCCAGGCACGGTGGCTCACACCTGTAATCCTAGCTAGCACTCTGGGAGGCTGAGGCGGGCGGATCGTTTGAGCTCAGGAGTTCGAGACCAGCCTGAGCAAGAGCGAGACCCCCTCTCTACTAAAAATAGAAAGAAATTAATTGGACAACTAAAAATATATACAAAAAATTAGCCGGGCATGGTGGCGCATGCCTGTAGTCCCAGCTACTCGGGAGGCTGAGGCAGTAGGATCGCTTGAGCCCAGGAGTTTGAGGTTGCTGTGAGCTAGGCTGACGCCATGGCACTCTAGCTGGAGCAACGGAGTGAGACTCTGTCTCAAAAAAAAAAAAAAAAAAAAGAATGACTGACCCAAGTCTATTGCCCCACACATTTCAACATCTTGGGTTGGAGGGGGGGGCGGTGGGGTGGAGGAAGCCTTACAATTAAATTTGGCACCTGCTTTTTTTCTTAGCAGCACACAAAATAATGGTGAATTTTAAAATGGATAGTATCTTAGGTTCACTAGAATTCTGTAAATGTGTGCCATTGTTAAGATTACAGGTAGCGAAATACTAAGCACAATGCCTGGCACTTAGCCTTTGGCGACATTGCTGTAATGATTTAAAAGTTATCTCTTAGTCTTGTATGTGCCTTTAACAAACTGCTGTATATTGCATTATTGATAGTAATGATAATAGTCCCACAAAGACCCCTAACTTCACAGATGGAGAAACAAGGGTCAGAGAGGGGGAAGGGCTGCCCAGAGTCATACAGACAACTGGTGAAGAGCCTTGACCACAGAGCCCAGACTTCTCTTAGAATTCTAGAGTGGCAGGCAACCTTGGCAGCCAACACCCTCCCCTGTTACAGAAGAGGAAAGTTAAGGTAGGGGTGGGGGTTAAGTGACTTGTCCAAAGTCACACTGCAGGGGATAAGAGTCGGGACAGAAAGGGCCCTGAAAGAGAAGTTAATCTAGTACCTCCCCAATACCCTAGCTAACTGTTAGAATTAGTTTGGGGTGGGAGGGGACGTATGTGTATATGTGCATATGTATACACATGCGCGCACACACACATGCTCCAGGCCCTGCCAGCCCTACCGAACCTGTTTCTGAAAGTGGAGCCTGATGATCTGAAGGAAGAGTCACATCTTTAGCCTGGGTTATAGTGCAAAGACTCTGGTAAAAATTACCCTGGAGACATTTCCTCTGTCACCTGTAAAGCACAGTACACGAGCTCAACAGCCCCTTCTTCTCCACTGGTGGCGCAGATGCCCTTTTCCTCGGCTGAGCACCGGATGAAGTGGATGGGTTGCATTTATGAGCTGTTGCCCGCCCCTCACCAAATACATGTCTTTGTGTACCTAAACACACTCAGTCCTGCCACTTTGCCAGGTCCATAAAGTTGAATTCCAGCAAGTTCAAGGGATATATGCTGTGACTCCACTTAGAAATGCTAAATTTGGTGTACCTTTGAAAAAGTTTCCCAAAATTATTCTGAATACCCACTAATGTGGGGGACAGGTAGCCTAGTCTAGTGCTTCTTAGACTTTAATGTTTATGAATCACCTGAGGGTCTTGTTAAAGTGCAAATTTGGATCCATTTGGTCTGGAGAGCACCAGAAATGCTTCAGTTCTCACAAGCTGCCAGGTGGCCACCATGCCCTTGGACCAGGGGACCACACTTTGCCTAACAAGACTCTGTCTAGTGAGCCCGGCCCCTGGCTGTAACTGTATGAAGAGGGTGGGGAGTGAATACAAAGAGGAAATATCGCAGCGTGGGCAGAGAGAGAAGCTGAGGAGTCCCCAGAGGGATGTGCTTACCCGGGCAGATGCTGCCTCTGAGGTTCTCCAGCAGGTGCGTCATGGTGCTGAAGTCCGGGGAGTAGGACACGTGCAGCTCGGCTGGCTCCGAGGCGATCTCACGCAGCTCCTCCTCCACGGCCTTGCCCACGCCCACGGCGTACATGACGATGCCTACATGGCCGGGAGACTCAGAGGGTGCCCCAAGCCTCGGGAAAGCTGCCTCCCAGGGTCCGACCCAATCCCAGTCCAATGTGCCCGGTGCCCAACCCACCTTCCTCCTTGGCGCGCGCTGCCCACACCGAGATGTCATCTTGGGAGCGGCCGTCGGTGAAGACCAGGCCAACGCGAGGCACGTTGAGGGCGCGAGGCCGTGCGCCCTGCGCCTCGGAGAAGCTGTGCTCCACCATGTGCCGCAGCGCCAGCCCTGTCATGGTACCGCGCTCCATGTACTCCACGGCGAGGACCGCCTGCTTCACCTCGGCTGCGGTGCCGTAGCGGCCCAGCGGGAACTCCGTGCGCACGCGGCTTGAGAACTGCACCAGCCCCACGCGAGTGCCATCAGGGGACACATCCAGGAAGTCTACGATCTGGTTCACGAAGCGCTTCACCAGCTCAAAGTTCTGCGGGCGCACGCTCTTGGAGCCATCCACGAGCACAACTAGGTCCACGTGGCCTTCTCGGCATCCTGCTCAAAGAGAAGAGCTTGGATGGAAGGGCCAGAACCTTGACTGGCGGCAGTCGTCTATCCATCTAGTCATTCACTTGCAAACATTTATTATATAACAGATAACATTTCCTGAGTCCTTGCTGTGCCAGGCAGTATGCTAAATAATTATCACCATTATCATCATCATCCTCATTACAGCCCTTGATAAAATTTATTGAGCACTTAGTACAATTAGCAGGCACTCTACAAAAACACTTTTTTTAATGATAATGACAACAAGCATAACTACCATTTATTGGTCATCTACTATGTATCAGGCACAATTCTAAGCCTTGTACCAGTATTAATAATAATAATAATAATAATAATAGCAAAAACATTAACTGATAGCTTACCATGTGCCAGGCACTGAGCTAGGTTCTTTATATATATTCTCAATTCTCCCAGTGGCCTTGAGTATGAGCTCTATTTTCTATAATCTGAGGTTCTGAAGGATAAAGTGATTGCCCCAGATTTCACAGCTAGATGTAACTGAGCCAAGACTCGAAGCCAGGTCTGTCTGACCCCAAAACTCATGCTCCCAATCACTCTACAATGTCGCCTGCCCTATTCTAAGCCAGGGACTTTGCTAGGCCCTGAAGGGGGTTCAGCAACAAATAAAACATAATCCTGATCCGTGAGGAAATCAGGATAGAGCCGAGCAAGTCAAACATGCCATATGCTGCAGTCGAGGAAAGTGTTAGAACAGAGGGGCATCAAGGAGCCCAAGGCAGGGATAATGTATTCTTTCTGGAATTGGTAAGGAAGGCTGCACAGAAGTGATGACAATTGATTTGATCTTTGTTGTGGACTGAATCATTGTGTCTCCAAAAATTCATTTGTTGAAACCCTAACCCCTAATGCGATGGTCTTAGGAAGTGGGCTCCTTAGGAGATAATTAGAATTAGATGAGGTCATGAGGGCAGAGTCCTTACGAATGGAATTAGTGTCATCATAAGATTTCAAAGAGAGCTTGCTTCCTCTCTCCACCATGTGAGGATACAGTGAGAAGACTGCCATCTATGAACCAGAAAGCAGGCCCTCACCAGACACTGTATCTGCTGGCACCTTGGTCTTGGACTCCCCGCCTCCAGAACTGTGGAAAATAAATATTGTTTAAGCCACTCAGTCTACGGTACTTTGTTATAGCACCCCGAATGTACTAAAACAGTCTTGAAGGATGAGTAGGAGTTTGCCAAGACAGGGAGGGACAGGCTGGAAAGTGGAGAGCAGCACGTGCAGAGGTATGGGAGCTGGGAAGCTCTCAACACTCTCAGCAGGGGGCAGGCCAATATGGCTGAATGAATGCTCAAGTGTGGCAGGAGACAGGCTGGTGGAGTGGGCTGAAGCCAGATTGTCATGCGCTAAGGCAGTGGTTTCAAAATTTTGACCACAACTCACTGTAAAAATAATAATAATACATCATGACATACTTCATGTGCTCACATATAACTAACCAAGTTTCGAAAATAATATATATTTTTTGAAACAAAGTCTCACTCTGTCACCCCAGGTAGCATGCAGTGGTGTCATCGTAGCTCAGGGCAACCCCAAACTCCTCGGCTCAAGCGATCCTCCTGCCTCAGCCTCCCAAGTAGCTGGGACTACAGGCTAATTTTTCTGTTTTTAGTAGAGACAGAATCTCACTCTTCCTCAGGCTGGTCTCAAACTCCTGAACTCAAGTAATCCTCCCACCTCAACTTCTCAGAGTGATAGGATTGTAGGCATGAGCCACTGCACCCAGCCCAAAGATAATATTCTTTCTATATGCAGTCAACTCTATTTTGTCTTCCATTCTTTATTTTTCTTAAATGCTGGCTGTAACACACTAATTTGATTTCATTATCCACTAATGTGATTGTGTCCACTATTTAAAAACCTCAGAGGTAAGGCATTCGATCTTTATTTCGTAGGCATTGGTGAACCACAGAGGGCTTTTGAGCAAAGCAGGAATGTGATCACCAAATATATATTTTTTTAAATTAATGTTGGCAACAGGGGAGAGGATTGAGGGGAAAGAGATGGGGGCTGGGCACAGCACACTGTCCAACACCACCCCTCCGCACACACACATTCATACCACAGCCTTGGGCCCCAGCAAGGGCAAAGTCAAGGACATTCAGAATGTGGGCAACGGGGCAGCAGCAGACAGAACACCCTCCCACCCATCACTCACGGTTGCAGCTCTTGCCGTCTGCCTGAAGCTGCCTCCCCTCAGGGCACAGGCAGCGGTAAGAGAGGCCCTCGCTTACACACTGGAACTCGCAGCCATGGTCCACGCCATTGCAAAAGTCCCGGACTTAAAGGAGAGACAGATCAGGATGAGTCAGAGTGGACCCCACCAAGCTAAGGTCTACTCTGACTCCCCGCAAATGTAGGAGACCCCTCCTCACCCCGACAGCTCCTTCCATCAGGCAGCAAGTCATGGCCCTCTCTGCAGTGGCACCGTGGCCCAGCAAGGGTGCTAACACAGTCGTGCTGACAGCTATGGTTCCCGAAGCTGCAGTGGTCAATGGCTGGTGGGAAGGAAGAAACAGCAAGATGTCACCTCTGATTACAGCCATCAGAGGCCTCAGTCCTGGGTGCTGGTGGGTGGGCGGGGTGCTTACCCCTGCAGCTCCGCTGGTCCTGCTGGAGTACAAAGCCAGCTTGGCAGCGACAGAAATAGGAGCCCGGGGAATTGACACAGTGGTGCTCACATCCATGGGTCCTTTCAGCACACAGGTCAATAGCTGAGAAAGAGATGACGTTAGCCTGTGCCCAGGACTGCCTCTGTGAGCCCTGGCAGCACAACCACCTGAGAAAATTTTTTAAAATACCTATGCCCAGGCCCCAATTCCCACAATCTTGACTTAATTAGTCTGGGGTGGTACCCAGGCATCTGTAGTTTCTATAAGTATAAGCCTCCTTCCTCCGGGGCCAGGTGATCCTCCCACCCAAACCCCGGAAACAACCTAGAGACAGTGGGCCCATGACTGAGCCAGGCGTGAGAAGGAGAATCTGCTGTTGCCCTGTCCTCCAGATGCTCCCTGGCTCACAGGGAAGGAGCAGGCTCAGCCACTCTAGCTATGTGAACTTCCATGTCCCCATCTGCAAAATGGGAATATAATAGGAGCGAGCAATTGCTATTTACAACTTCCTTCTGAGGAGGGTGGAGACCTATCGCCCTGTTGACCCTCTTGATGGCTTGGATGTGTAAAGGTAGCCTAGAGCTGAGCTTGGGAATAGGGACTGCAGAGAGGAGAATTGCTCTGTCTAAAAAAAGTGAGAATTTGGGTTTCCTGGAAAAGAGATGGGGATGGAGAGAGGAAAAAAGAGAACAGGGGAGACGGAGTGAAGATGAGTAACTCTGTGGGTTGAGGCTGCTGGTGACAAAGCCCCTGCAGTGGGCTGACTGAGGACTTCTAGGAATGAGGGTATCTAATATTCAATTACAAATGATGAGTTTTTCTTCTGCGTGTGTGTGTGTGTGTTTGACTTTACATAGATTTAACTCACACCTCTGTCACTCCTATCTTTAGTAAAACAAACATGCACACTTACATACGTACACACACCCTTGTGTGCACAAGTGTGTAAACCAAAGAAGAGGCTGATTTACATGCATGGAGCAAGAACGGCATGTGTGGGGCTGAGAAATTGAGAGAAGGTCCGTAGAATCAAACGAATGCAGCAGAAGCTCACAGCGAGAGGTGATCATCTGAATGTAAGCCCTTGGGAATTCCCAGAGAACTTGGAGAGGGATTTGAAGGTTGATGGTCATCAAATGGGGGTTGTCAAGCCAACCTTTTGAAGTTTCTAGAAAGAAGACCCAGCTGACATCTGGATTGGGATCACATGATTTCTTTTTCCAGCTTGTAGTGAGGCTGAGAGGTACTGTATGAAATGCAGCTAGCACAATGTCTGATACTAACTTGGCACTCAATAAATGGTGGCTGCAATTATGATCACAGAGTAGACATAAATACACACCAAAAAGAAAAACCCAATTGTACAATGTGAGCAAGGTATTGCGTGGCATTGCTTTTCAGAAGACAAAAATGAAGAACCATGTTTTGAAATATTTGTGGAGGCCGAGAGGTCAGGCAGGTGAGCCCAGGCAGGCAGCACACACAGAGCTGAGGTGCAGAGGCAGGAATGGGTGGCATGTGGGGGGAGACCCGCCTAACTGAAGACCCCTCAACAGTGTCTAAGAAGAGAAACTGTAAGGATGTGCCTGTGAGAAGACAGAAACAAGTTTGGGAGGTGGATTAGAGCCAGGTAGGAGACTGGCCTGAAAATGGGCAGAAAAGGAGATAGAAACTAGCAAACTTAACTGCAGGGTCCCACCAAGGACTGTGTGACCCCGGGGGATATCTCTTTTTCTTAGGCCTGTAAAGTAAAGGAAGTGGGCTTTTACTTCCAAAGGCTCTTCCAGACTCATTGGTCTGATGCTGGGGCAATGGGGAACCAAAGAAGGTTCAGGAGCAGTGAGATTGCAGGGCAGGAGTAACTCTCACCCAAACAGCTCTTGTTATCTGGTGCTAGCTTGTAGCCAGGGTTGCAGGCACAGTGGAACGTGCCTGGGGCGTTGACACATTGGTGCTGGCAGCCATGTTTCCCCTCAGCACACAGGTCCTTCCCTGAGGACACACAGGACTAGAATCAGCAGGGGACAGACAGGCAGAAGCCTCCAACAAGAGAAATCTGGGGGTCAGAGGCTGGCATCACCTTCAAGCATGGCCTTAGGAGGGACAGGACGCATTTGAGACAGGACCAGGTGGGAGGCTTAGGGAACCAACAGGGCTTGAGCAGCCCCCGTGAATAGGTTCAGAAGAGGGGCACTGGACAAGATGGGTTGGTAGGATAGAACTATACAGGGTAGAGGTGGGGTAGGGAGGTGGAGAGGTGCTAAATCAAGGTAGGCAGAATAACTCAAGACGAGACTAGAACGGATCCTGCGGCACTTGTGGGAGGAGCTAAAATGAAAGTGGGAGGAGCCATGCCCACGTGAGCAGTGGGGCATGACTCTTTGGAGCGGGTGATTGCTCTCCGCTTCCAGGGGCAGTGCTTCTTTGTGTCCAGGGGTTTGGTGTTGGAGTTTGGCCTTAAGCCTGTGGTAAACCACAAACGCTCATCCTGGTGGGCAGGGTAAGCTCAACGTTGCTCCTCGTGAACAGAGCCCAAGCAAAAGTGGCCAGAGGTGAAATCTGACACAGGCCGCGGTTGGCCAGAGCAACTCAGCTCTACCGGCAATGCGCGGGGCCACCCGACAGAATGGGATCTACTGTGCTGGGAGCAGGACTCCAAGCAGCTGGTCTGAGAATTCGAGCCTCACTCAGCACTTCCCTAACTCACCGCACAGCCGGCCCTGGAACTGCAGGCCAAACTCCTGGATAAGGTCGAAGGACTCAACGAGGAAGACGTGCTCGTCTAGCGGGTGCGACGCCATGGCGCGCAGGGAGCCCACATCTGCGCGCTGCACCCCCACGGCGTAAATTTCAATGCCGCGGGCGCGGGCCTGCGCCGCCACCTCTGCCACGCGGTCCTGGGGCCGCCCGTCCGTCACGATGACGGCGACGCGAGGCACGCGCTCCTCTGGAGGACGCGCGCCCTCGGCCACGCTGAAGGCCACGTTCATGGCGTACTGGATTGCCAGCCCGGTCATGGTGCCCTGAGCCAGCGGCACCAGGGCGCGAATGGCGCGCTCCATGTCCTCTGCGCGCGAAAAGGCGCCGAGCGGGAAGACGCTTTGCACTTGACTCGAATATTGTATCACGCCGACACGCGTGGCATTGGGCCCCACGTTCAGGCCATGGAGGAGGCCCATCAAGAACTGCCTCACTGTCTCGAACTCGAAGGGGCGTACGCTGCGCGAACTGTCAATCACGAACACCAAATCCAGGGGCCCAGTGTGGCACCTGGGACCTGCGGGTCAGATCAGAAAGGCCTTTCCTGGGTCAGCAAAGCCTTACTTCGCCTCTGAGGAGACTCCCGGGGAAACCCAAGGGAAATGCTGTCATCTCGGTATAACAGCACCCAGCACGTAACCAACACGGCAAACGCAGGTTACACCCATTCATTCATCCAGTATTTATTTAGGACCCAAGCTAGCAGATTTCACAAATTTCCCAGCCTACGGCTCTGAAACCTATTCTGAGGAGGTATTATCCATTGAGGAAGGGATGAGGAGGAGATATTGCAACTCAGATGCCTGTAGAGGCAACACAAATGAGCGAACTGGGTTGGTTAGGATGGTGGACACCCAGAGAGCCTGTATCCCTCTCCTAAGGTGGGCAGCTCCAGCCAAATGCTGCCATGTGGCCATGCACACTGGACGTTAGCAGATTCTCGGATTTTTCAAGAGAAGTCTCAGATAGGGATTATTATGTAAAATCTCCTGGATTTCCTATGTTCGCAATTAATTTTTCAAAATTGAACACCAAATGGGCAGTTTTGCATGAGCCCAAAACTATGATGAAGAAACTGAGGCCCACAGAAGTGAAGTGGGGAACTTGATCCCATCCCGGTATGTTTCAAGGTCCTTGCTTTCCTCACCCGAGCAGGCCCAGGTGGCTGCAGATGGAGAACCAGCTTCTGTTCCCCTCTTCCCCTGGTGGGGGTTGGGTCCCAGCTCACCTGCCACCTGGAGCTGGATTTCCCAGGGCTGAAGAAGCAGCAGCCACGCTAGCAGTGGCCAGCAAAGAAGGCCCCTCATGGTTCTCTGGGGACAGAGAATAGGAGGTGTCAGAGCCTGGAGCGGGGAAGGAAAATCATAAAGCAATAGTATTTACAGAGATCTTATTCTGAGTGATGGACACTTGGAGGGAGAGGAGGGTCATGGGTTTATTTTGCTAATCTCTCTATTTTTGTGTATGTTTGAAATGTTTCTTAATTTTAAAATTTATGGCTGGGCACAGTGGCTCATGCCTGTAGTCCTAGCACTCTGGGGGCAGAGGTGGGAGAATCACTTGAGCTCAGTAGTCCAAGAAAAGAAGAAAAAGAAAGAAAAATCACCCGGGCGTGGTGGTGCAGGCCAGTAGTCCCAGCTACTCAGGAGGCTGAGGCAGGAGGATCCCTTGAGCCCAGGAGTTTGAGGTTGCTGTGAGCTATGATGAAGCCACTGCACTCTAGCCCAGGCAACAGAGCAAGACCCTGGCTCAAAAGAAAAAAAGAGAAAAGAAAATAATAAAAGAGAAAAAAAAAAAGAGAAAAATTTCATCAGAGTGGGATTGCTGGGAAACATGGGTGATTCTTTGTAGAACTGCAGAATAGCAAATAAATAAAAAGTAGGTAAAAATATACAAAATTTAAACAGAAAAAAAGTCTTTCTTAAATCGAAGCATAGTGTAAAATGTTTTTCATGCATTGTGGCACTTAATCCCCTCTACAGGTCTGAGACCAAGGCTGTTATTTTCCCCATTGTACAGGTAAGGAAACCGAGGCTTAGAGAAAGAAGTTAAGCGCTGGTACCCAAAGCCATGCTGCAAGGAAGTGGCCGCGCCAGGGTAGAATCCTACGCTTATTCAGTTCTGGGAGCCAGCAGGGGATGTTCGGTGCCCTCTTCTCCCATCAGGCCACCCTCTGCAGACAGGAGTCATTTCCCACCTCGGCCCCCTCCCCTCCGCACACAAGGAGCTGTGTGCTGTCGTTGCGACTCCCCTTCCCCTAACCCTTGCACACACACGAATAGACACGCACCGCCCGACCGCAGGCGGCGGGGAAGGGCCGTGCGCGTCCGCGGGGTTGAGTGTGGTGGGGTGGGCAGAGAGTGGGCCAAAACCCACCACGCACCAGAATTCTCGGCTTGGAGCCTTCATTTCCCGCGCTCTCAGGAAAGGCCGCCAGAGGGCGCCTGCCTGGGTCTGGCTGCGACGGCCGGGTGGCCGTGGGAAGCCCACATCTGCCCAGCAGGTGCCCCAGCCTAGAGCAAACAGGGGGCCGGGAGCCCCGGGTCCTTGGAGATAAGACCTGGACAGGATATATCCCGCGCGAGGGTCGGGGTGCTGGGGTGAGCAGGTTCCGGGGACGGCGTCACTGCACGCGCCCGGGGGGCGCCCTCGGAGAGCAGCCATGGATCCCGCGCAGGCAGCAGGTGAGCCCTCACCTTCCCGCTGCCCCGTCGACACCCCTGGAGAATTACTAAGGACCCCCATTGTACAGATGGGAACATAGAGGCCCAAGAAAGCAGCCTACGGAGCTGCAAAAGCAGGATTAGAACCTGGGACTCCTGGCTCCCTTTCCCCCTCCTGAGCCCCGCCTCCTCCTCCCTGGCGCCTAGGAGTCACTAAACTTCTGTTTCTTCCATTCCCTAGCCCACCCCCTGGGCCCCATGCTGAAGCTGTGTTAGACATTTTTTTGTTGCTATTTCTTGGCAGAGAAGGCCAGCCGCCCCTAACCCAACCGCAGCCCCGCCCCCGACCCCCCCAATTCCGTGAATGGGCCTATTCTGAGCAAGGTCGGGTGCCTGTGGCTCACTCCAGGCGGCTTCCTTCCGGTCCCGGATTCTTTACCCCCTTCGCCTTCCAGGCCTGGTAGAAGAACAGAAATCCCTCTGGCAGGGCCCATCGTGGGAGGGTGACTAAGCTAGATGTGCCAGCGGCTGGAGGAGGTGGGAGGGTGGGGAATGCCTTCTGTAGCTCAGGCCATAGCGGAGGCCAGCATCCCTGGGCAGCATGAGGGTAAAATGACAAGGGGCCTTTGCCACTCCCCATCCTTTCCCACGTGAGAAGCCTCTGGGCCTCAAAATCTTGATTAAGGTCCCCCTTATCCTGCTCTTGGTCTGAGCCGACATCTCACCTGGTTCCCCACCTCCACCCCAGGAATCCGAGAAAGTCACAATAGCCACTGCCTCAACGTTCATCACCTTGCCAAACCCCCTCATTCCATAGAGAAAGGAACGTGGTCCAGAGAGGGTAATGTCTCAAGCTCACACAGCAACATCCTGGCAGAGTTGACAGTAGAACCTGGGACTCCTCCTTGATCCTTGAGTTAGAGAGAAAGACTCAGAGATGCTCTGGGGAGGGAGGAGGAGTGGACTGGCAAGAGAGGGGAGGTCTGTAAATAATTCCTCGAGAGTTGTCCAAGAAATGAACACCTTGAGGACATTCCTGCCGGTTCCTGGAGGGACAAGAGGAGGGCAGGGGTGACCCCATTTTGGCCGCCTTGTTGGTGGGAGCTTAATTTGGAAAGGACCCGACAGAAGCAGGGAAAGGCACTGCAGGTCAGATAGGGGCATCGTGGGCGGTGCATCGCTGCTGCAGACGGTCGCCTGTTCCCCTGCAGACCCCTCAGCGCCCCCGGACTTTTTGACTCACCTGAGCCTGCCGGACAGCTCAGAGGCGCGGCTGCAGAGCGGAGCCGACGGGCGGAGCCTCCCAGGCAGTTGGACCAGGTAACGGCGTGGGCAGCGTGCCCTAGGTGGGGACTGCCAGGCAGCTGGAGCGCGCGGAGGCGGCGGCCGCATTTAACCCGGGGCTGGCGGGTTAGGAGGGGGAGTGCGGGCCGCGACCGCTCCCACTGGCAGGGAGCGACCCCCCTTCCTCTGAGGGCTGGGGCGGGGCAAGCCCGGCGGCCCCTGTTCCTGCCACCTAGGAGCCGCAGGCGCTAGCTGCGGGGCCGGAATCAGGCTGCAGAGGGAGACTGGGGCGGCGACACTCCGCAGCCGGAATGCGTTGGAAGCCTACGAGGCACTTCCCTGAGGAGCCCCAAGGGGCGGAGCGGCCCTGGCTCTGGCCGCCGACTGCCTGGCCCCGCTTCCGAGGGTGCGGCCCCACTCTTGCCCTCCGCTGTCCCCTCCAGGAGTGAGGAGAGGCCGCGGACTCCCGTCCTGCCAGCAGGGTAAAGGGCTCAGAAGGACAGCCTCAGTGTTCATGGCTCTCCTCCGGCCCCAACCTGCTGTCCTCCGAATCTCTCCCATCGCAGACTCCTTTACATGCTCCCTGCAATTGCCTAGGCCTTGGCCCACCCGCCCGCACCCACTCAAACCCAGGCCGAGAAGCGCCGGGCCCCAGGCTCTGCCCGGCTCGCTCCGCAGGACCAATGGGATCGGCCTCGATTCCCTGTAATCAAGGGAAGCAAAGCCGACGCCGCAACAGGACTCGTCTCACGGGAGGAGAGGAGTACTGCGTTGGCCCCAGAAAGACTCAGATTCCCCGACCCACCCCCGACCTCCGTCCTGGAAACGCGTTTGGGGGCCCTTTGGTGTTTGCAGGCGTCTGCCGGCAGGAGGCGACACAGCAGACTGGGCTGCGGGGCCAGCAAAGGCTGTGCCCCTCAGGCATTCCCCTGGGGTGGGGAAGCTTAACCTCTACCAACTCCGAGGGCCCTAACTCACCTCTCTCCACCCCAGGGCCAGCATGAGAGAGGGCCTTTGTATCACAGCCACGTGTCCCTAAGGCCCTGGGCTGCAATGGGCGTGCAGCCAGACCATCAGAGTGGCACCTGGGTGGTCCCGGTGGGCTCCATGCAGGCCTCATTGAGCACTTTGCAGACCAAATATTTAGCCCACGACTTGCACCCGAGCCCCCTCCTTACCTTCCTCTCCCTGACCCTGTGGAATGTAGAGCCGCCCCACCCCCGCTTCATTTCACTCAACCTTAGTGCTTGGGCTCTGTGCCACCTTGCCCCTTGACTCTCCCTGGTGCGGGCTGGTTGTCCTGCCCGCCCCCCACTCCCAGGTCATCCCCAGAGCATGCCACCATCCTGAGGGAAGGGGTGCGCGGGTGCCTGCAGCAGCAGTGTGAGCAGACGGTGCGGATCCTGCATGCCAAGGTGGCCCAGAAGTCCTATGGAAACGAGAAGCGGTAGGTGTCCCAGGGGTCCCTCCCAGTCTCTGCAGCCTTCAGCCCTATGCACCCTCCATCCGTTGGGCCTCTTTTAGAGCCAGGGAAGGCCTCAGGGCAGAGACCCCAGCTTTTGGCTGACCAGGGGCCTTAGCTCCCACTTTGCTCTATAGCAGAGCCTCCCTGTGAATCTCCCGACCTCATTCGTTCGCTCACTCACACACTTATTCATTCTTTCATTCAACAACTACTTACTGAGTGCTTATCATGTGCCAGGCTCTGTGGCACTGCTGGGCAATGGACATACAGCCGAACAAGACAGGTGCAATCCCTGCTGTCCTGGCATTTTCACTCTGGTGTGGAAGAGACAGATAGTAAACTCCTTATAAATCCGTAAACAAGATACTTCCAGGTGTGATAATGAGCGCTAGAAGGAGAATAGAACAGGGCACCGTGATAGAAACTAAAGGTGGGGCTAGGTTAGCTAAGGGCTTTTAGGAGGTGACATCTAAACTGCGACTTGAATGCTAAGATGGAGCCAGACATCGGGAAATCTGGGGAAAGCATGTTACAATTAGAAGGAACAGCAAATGCAAAGAACTTGAGGCTGTACCAACGAGGCCTGTTTGAGGTTCCAAAGTAGTCCGAGTGGCTGGAGACAGAGGGAGGAGTTGCAGGAAATAGGTTGACAGGTAAGCAGGGCCCCATCATGGGAAGGCTTTAAATTTCAAAGCAGTGGAGGGCTTGAAGAAGAGGAGTAACAAGATCTGACTCGTGTTTTTAAAAAAGCTCTCTGTGTGAGAAACAAGTTGAAGGGGGGAGCAGTGGAAACAGAGGTAATTTGGAAGGTGACTCAGTGGTCCCGGCAAAAAGTAATGCCAGAGGGACCATGGCCGAGGTAGTAGGAAGCCAGTGGATTCTGGGTATGTTTCGAAGGTGGAGAGGACAGGACTTGCCGGTGAGTTGAATGAGGGGTGTGAAAGAAGAAGGCTAATGGGTGTTAACGGGGTTCACAGTCATGGGGAAGCCTGCGGGGTGTGGGGGCGTACGCAATCCAGGGTTCTGTTGGGTTTATGCCACTTTGCGATGCTTGCAGGACAGTCGGGTGGAGACAGATAGAGGAACCCAACACTCTTATCTCCGCAGGTTCTTCTGCCCTCCACCCTGCGTCTACCTCTCCGGTCCCGGCTGGAGGGTGAAGCCAGTGCAGGGCCAAGGTGAGGGCGGACTCCAGGGCTGCCCGCCCTCTACTCTGGCGGGAGGACCACGCATAGGGCCTGGGCGCCGCGTGGTTCGCACTTGCGGTCTCGCCGCGCCCTCTGGCGGGCAGAACTAAGCTTGCCTGGCACCTGAACGCTTCCTGAGTCCCTCCAGGGCTAGCCCGCGTCCCTTTCCAGTTCACCAGGCAGGGGAGACGGGGCCCACGGTCTGCGGTTACATGGGACTGGACGGCGCGGCCGGCAGCGCCGCGGAAACGCAGAAGTTGAATTTCGAGGAGCAGCCGGACTCCAGGGTGAGCGCGCAAGAGAAGGGGTTTGATTCCTGCTCCCCTCCCTGCCTCTCCCTTGGAAAAGAGGGCTTCTTCACTCCCCTCCGGAAGCCGAGACATGGGGAGGGAGGCTGGGAGGCCAGGGTGCTGCCTTAAGGCTGAGCCCGAAAGCCTGGATCGAGGAGCTTCTTGTCACCTCCGATGGGGCGGACGTCAGATATCTGGGGGAGGCTGGTTCATCCGGTGTGGAGGGCTGGAACGAGAAGGCCCCGTCCCCACGAGCCCCGCAGGAATTCGGTTGCGCCAAGACCCTGTACATCTCGGACGCAGACAAGAGGAAGCACTTTCGGCTGGTGCTGCGGCTAGTGCTGCGCGGGGGCCGGGAGCTGGGCACCTTCCACAGCCGCCTCATCAAGGTCATCTCGAAGCCCTCGCAGAAGAAGCAGTCGCTGAAAAACACGGACCGTGAGCGGGGCGGGGCCTGAGCGCAGGGCAGGGTGGGGAGGTGCAACCAAGAGCCGCTAATTTGGGACGGGTGGGGTGGGGGGGCTGGATTATAGGGGTGGGGTCAGAGTGAAAAAGGTGCAGTCTGAGCCGGGAGAGGGGAGGAGTGTGCGTGAGTGGGTGCGGCTTAGGCCTGGGGGTGAGAAGAGGGAAGGATCAAAAACAGAGGGAAAAGAGGATGACACTAGACTCCGAGGGTGGGCTCTGGGGGTCCAGAGCAGACAAATGGCCGACAGGTGCTGAACTAGGGACAGATTAAAAGTGATGATAAAGGGGCAGAGGAAACTCAGTTAAAAGTATACGTATGCCTGGCTCTGTGCTGGGTGCTGGATCCCTATAAAATAAAGGCAGGTGTCTTTTCTAGTGGAAAGCACAACCTAGCAGGGGACACACAGAGCGGATCGAAGAAAAATGTGAGATTAGCACTGTCCTGGATGTCAAGTGGCAAATCCCAGGGCTGGGGGCTCTAAGAATAGGGAGGGGAAAAAAGCCTAATTAACAATGGCAACATCAGACAACCATCACTGAAAGGTGAGCGGGTTGGGTAGGAGGCGGCTTTCCTAGAGGGCATTTACTTGCATTACCCTATCTGATGCTTGTCCTTGCATACCTGTGACATAGGTACTATCATTGTTCCTATGTCGCTTAAGAAATATTTAGGCCTATCACATCCCAGGTGACTTTGCTAAGATTGCCCAACTTAGAAGTGGCCAAGCCAGGATGAAAACATGAGTCGATGTGACTCCAGAACCCAGCTCCTACCCTCTACCACACTTACTTTCTGTCTGTTAAAAACCCTTGTAGAATGTCTCAGATCCAGGCAGTGTTCTGGCTGGGCCGCAGTATCAGGAAAGGGCCAGAGAGGGGTGAGTGTGGTATAGTGTGATGGTTAAGAGCCCAGATTCTGGAGCCCAGTGGCCTGGGTTTGAATCCTGGCTCCGCCATTTGCTAGCTGCATGATATGGTGCAAGTTGCTCTCCTAAGTGGAGATCATATCATCTGCCTCAGAGGGTTGTTGAGAGACTCAGAGGAGCCAATGCATGTAAAGCATTTAGAAAAGCACTTGGCGCACAATAAATTCTACGTCTAATTCAAGGGACAGGAACTTGGGCTAGGTATAAATTGAGCACCTACAGTAAGCCCTAGCACTGTGAGAGGAGAGAGGAAGGTGACCCACCCAGTGCTTTCTCCCCAGTGGTCAAAGTCAAGTGAGAAAATGAAACCGTGGCTCTGATTATGTGCAATAGGCCGGAAAAGATAAATGTCAGCCTCTAGGAATATGGTACTACAACCTTTGCTTATGCATCCTCTGTGTAACTCCTACCTCATGCCTGCTCCCTAGCAGGGCATATAACCTCCTCCAAGAAGGCCTCCTTAACTCAGCCCTTATGACTTCATACTGAAATTTTATATTTGTGTCCCTGTCTTCCTTTCGAGACTGTGAACTGTTCCAGAGAAAATCTGAGTTTAATTCACCCTTTGGTACCCAGCACCCTGCACAGTCCCTGCCACAAAGAAGGCACATAGTGACTAGTTGATAAAATTCTGCCAGGCATGGTGGTGCATGCCTATAGTCCGAGATACTTGCGAGGCTGAGACAGGAGGATCACTTGAGCCCAAAAGTTTGAGGCCAGCCTGGGCAACATAGAGAGACCCCTGTCTCTTTAAAAAAATATTTTTAATTTATAAAAGTGTTTTAAAATTTCTGTTTGTTGAACTGAAGGATGCCCAGGCAGCAAAAAGGAGCTGGTGAAGGTAAGGAAGCAGGACTGCAGCAGGTACTAGATAAATATCTGTGGAATATGAATGCCCAGTGTGGCTAGGCCAGTGGGCATGTTAGCCAGGCTGGCACAGGGGACAGAGGATTGGAAATTGTCTGGCAAGTCCAAGGGACCATGCCAGGCCAGGGTACTGATTCCACCTCCCCCCACAGTGTGCATATCCTCGGGTTCAAAGGTCTCCCTCTTCAACCGCCTGCGCTCCCAGACGGTCTCCACACGCTACCTCTCTGTGGAGGACGGGGCCTTTGTGGCCAGTGCCAGACAGTGGGCAGCCTTCACGCTGCACCTGGGTAATCACATCTGCGGGCCGGGGCCGGGCACTCCATGCATAAGGTTATTTAATCTTCACCACAACTCCTCAAGGAAGGGAAACTTTGCCCTATGAAACTGAGGCTCAGAAACACAAATAGACTTGCCCAGGGTCCCAGTGAGTCAGCAACGGATCCAAGCTATTCTGACTCCAATGTCCATGTCCTTTCCCCTCGTATCAACTAAGCTGCCTGCCCCGCCCCTGCCCCCACCCCTGCCCCTAAGGGCAGACATTTGTGAGGATGGCCATAAATGACCTCTCCAAGATTAGAAACTTCAGCTTCAGCTGCTACCCTGGGTGCCAAAGCTTCCCCCAGTGCCCATGTGGGATGTGGCGTGGAGCCAGAAGGCAGGGTTTGGGACAGAAACTTGGGCCCCTTGAAACCCTCGTTCCTTCCCTTTTTTGACCCTCAGCTGATGAGCACTGTTCCCAAGGGGACTTCCCACCTCGGGAGGGCTACGTGCGCTACGGCTCCCTGGTGCAGCTCGTCTGTACTGTTACCGGCATCACACTACCTCCTATGGTATGGGAAGGGAGGGCGTCCCTGGAGCGGCCCCCCCAGATCCATATAGAGAGTATGGCCCATATGGGCAGAGCTGGAGAGTGAGGGCCCAAGCATGAAGATACCTATTCTCACTCTGGGGATACTTTGTAGGACTGGGTGGAAGTCAAGGGGCGGGGGGACTCTCCTAGTGCCCACGTGGCTATCAGAGTGGCAGAGAACTGGCTGGGAGGGCAGCCTCTGTCACCCAGGCACCTTCTTACCACCCTTCCATTGCAGATCATCCGCAAAGTAGCCAAACAATGCGCACTCCTCGACGTGGATGAGCCCATCTCCCAGCTGCACAAGTGTGCATTCCAGTTTCCAGATGGTCCTCCAGGAGAGGGTGGCACCTACTTATGCCTTGCCACAGAGAAGGTGGTGCAATTCCAGGTGAGAAGCAAAGAATACTGGCACCAAGCATCCAAGAAAGTGAGAATGCAGAGAACCAAAGAATGTAAGATAGTCATCATCATCATCATGGTTGCTACTTACTGAGCAATACTGCCTCCCATGGAGTATTAAAATCATAGACAGAATGATAGTATGCAGAAAAATAGTAATAATATTACTGAGCAATACTCCTTCCCAAAGAATTTTAGAATCATAGAATGCTGGGATATAAAATTGCAGGATGTAAATAAAAGTTGTAATAGGTAATAGTATGGAGTTTTATTGAGTAAGTACTATTAGAATCATAGAATGTTAAGACATAGAATATGGAAAATTGTAGAATGTGGAAAATATTATTAAGCAATATTACTACCAAAAGAATATTATCATAGAATGTTAGGAGATAGAATCATAATATGTAGAAATAACAGTTATTAATGAGCAATATTCTTTCCCAAAAAATACTAAAATTGTAGAATGTTAGGGTATAGAACTGCACAATGTTAAAAAATAGAATTCTAAATTGGGTGTGGTGGCTCAGGCCTGTGATCGCAGCACCTTTGTAAGGTCGAGGTGGTAGGATCGCGCGCGTGGCAGTAGGATCTCTTGAGGCCAGGAGTTGGAGATCAGACTGGGCAATATAGCCAGACCCGTGTCTCTACAAAAAAAAAAAAAATTTTAAATTAGCTGGGCATGGTGGTGGGCAACTGTAGTCCCAGCTACTCCGGAGGCTGAGGCAGGAAGATCGCTTGAGCCCAGGAATTGGAGGTTGCTTTGAACTGGGCTGACGCCACTGCACTCTAGCCTGGGCGACAGAGCAAGACTCTGTCAAAAAAAGAGAGAAAGAAGAAAAGAAAGAAAGAAAGAAAGAAAGGAAGGAAGGAAGGAAGGAAGGAAGAAAGAAAAGAAAAGAAAAGAAAAGAAAAAGAAAGAAATCAGTCCGACGAACTTATTTAACTCTAAGCGAGAGAACTTAAGGGTCTTGTCCAAGCTCACGGGAAGGTAAACCGCAGAGCCTGGGGCTGGTACCTCTATTCGGTACCCAGTGGTACCTAACGCGGTGCGCTGGCGGCCGCCTTGCGAAGCTTCTGCCTCCGCCCCTCCGGTCTTCCCCCCAGGCCTCTCCCTGCCCCAAGGAGGCGAACAGAGCGCTGCTCAACGACAGCTCTTGCTGGACCATCATCGGCACGGAGTCGGTGGAGTTCTCCTTCAGCAGCAGCCTGGCGTGCACGCGGGAGCCCGTCACCCCGGTGCCCCTCATCAGCACCCTAGAGGTGAAACGAGCGCAGGGGGCGCTGGGACGCGTGGACCCGGCCTGCACCGGCAGGCGGGGATGCAAGTGAGGGAGGGCGGCGGGTTCCGGGCCCCATGCCCCCACTCCAACTTGTCCCACCCCCCCCCAGCTGAGCGGCGGGGGCGACGTGGCCACGCTGGAGCTCCACGGAGAGAACTTCCACGCGGGGCTCAAGGTGTGGTTCGGCGACGTGGAGGCAGAGACCATGTACAGGTACGCGATGGGGAGACAGCCTCCCTTGGGCCCGGGGGAGCGGGGGAGGAGTACCTGTCATCAGAGTCACTGCAGCCGTAACCCTGGTGCTCCACCCCTAGGAGCCCGCGGTCCCTGGTGTGTGTGGTGCCCGACGTAGCGGCCTTCGGCAGCGACTGGCGCTGGCTGCGCACGCCCATCACAGTGCCCGTGAGCCTCGTGCGCGCCGACCGGCTCTTCTACCCCAGTGCCTTCTCCTTCACCTACACCCCCGAGTACAGCGCGCGGCCGGGTCCCCCGGGCGCCTCCGAGCCCGCTGCCGACGCCGACACGCTCCTGGAGAGCATCCACCAGGAGTTCACGCGCACCAACTTCCACCTCTTCATCCAGACTTAGGCGTGGCCTGGGCGCCGGGGCTGCCCCCGCAGGGGTCTGTGCCCAGGCCTGGGGCGCGGCCGTTTTTCTAGGTCTTCAGCCCTGCTTCCTTGTCCCTTTGCTGCGGAAGGGCAGCAGAAGGCTCACCATGGAAACCCGGCCTCGCGGGCCTTGCATGGGTCACTCACTCATCCTTATACATACAGGAAGACACAACCCGAGTGATGCTCTCCGTGTCCAGTGCATATAGCTCTCCCTGTCTTATTCTCTTCTCATCGTCTCTAGATCAATCTCAATCCCTCCCCAGTAACCTCGTCTCTGTAGATGTATTTGTGTACCCTATCCCTCCGTCTGCCTCCCTCCCGCTCTCCCTGTGTGTCACTCACAATTTCGTACACTCCGAGGAGCCAAGCCTGAGGCATTTACCCGCCAGGCATCTGTGTCCTCTCTGGAAGAGACAACATAGTTTCACACATGCAGGCATGGGGCACAGCCTCCTGGAGCATGGCCAGCATGCCCTGGAGCATCAGATCTGACCTGGAGCACAAGGACCTGCTCCTCCCTGTACTCCCTATGGCTGGAATCAGGCACAGAGCCTTGCCTGTGTTTGCTTTGGTCCACAGCTTTGGTGGCTGGGCAGGTGCCTGGACAGTGGCCAGGTCTTGCCATTTTTTTTTTTTTTTTTTTTTTGAGACAGAGTCTTGCTCTGTAGCCCAGGCTAGAGTACAGTGGTGTCATCATAGTTCACTGCAACCTCAAACCATCAAACTCCTGGGCTCAAGTGAACCTCCTACCTCTCAGCCTCCCCAGTAGCTGGGACTACAGGCATGTGCCACTGTGCCTGGCTAATTTTTCTATTAGTAGAGGCTGAGTCTCGCTCTTGCTCAGGCTGGTCTTGAACTCCTGAGCTCAAGCAATCCTCCTGCCTCGGCCTCCCAGAGTGCTAGGATTATAGGCGTGAGCCACTGTGCCTGGCCTAGGTCTTGCCATCTTGACTGTGCCTCAGTTGCTTCTCCCACACGCCCAGTAAGATGCAGTCCTGAGGCTCAGGGATTCCTCTGCTGTACTAAAACCAGCCCTATCCAAGGTAGGGTCTGATCTGAATGACCTACCTCCCCAGGGAGGGAGGTGCCCCAGTGTACTTCCCTCCACCCTCACATACAGACACACACACACACACACACACACACACACACACACACACACAGAGACCTGCAGAGAAAAAAGGACCACAAATCCGATAGAAGAGAGAGCCTGCCTTTTTGACCCTTTCTAGAGGAGGAATGGGTTCACAGGCCGGTGGCATTCCCTGAGTTTCTGTCCCTGCCCAGTGGGACACCTGTCAGCTCTGGGGATGAGTTACCCTACTAGCTATCTCCCCATCCCAAGCGAGGATGCATCCTAGGCCCAGAGGTGAACTGTTCAGAACAAAACTTTCCCAGGACAACCTCGGGCAGAACTCCTGGGATCGACTGGGCAATAGCACAGCTGAGAGGGGGCTTCTCTCATGGGGCCCATGGACAGAATGACAATCCGTCCCTATCCGCCCACCCACCCTCTGCCTAGTCTGTGCATGACAGGGAAGCAAAAAAAAAAAAAAAACCCCAAAAAACTAAAACAAACAAAAAGCCCAGGCAGAATCCTGCCTTGGGCTATTGGAACTAAGGACACTGACATCACGGGTGCCAGCGACCTGTACCAGCCTCTGGTGGTGCCCCATGGGAGGACTGGTCTGAAATGTGGGTTCCAGGTTCTAACTCCCTGGGGCCCTTCTTTGACTTCCTGAGGAAGAGCTTATTTCCTGTAAAACGTCTCCCCCAGAACATGGAAAGTCCCTTGAGAAAAATGCTGACATTTCCCAGAGGAAAAGAAGTGGGGTTTGCTCTGTAGACGCCCCAAAGTCCTGATGAAGTTCCATCACCTGCCAGCAGCAGGCTGAAACCCACTGCGAGGGGCGATGGAGAAGCCTATTTAAAGCCCGGTGTGGTGAAGGTGACTTCTGACTGAGAAACGCAGAGACCAAGTTGAATGAGAAATGTCCCCAAAATGAGTGGCTGCCTCAGGAGAGATTGAGCTCACTGTGCCTCAGTGGTGTTGAAGCAGGAAGCCACTCATAAGGAGGCTAAGAGGAGTTTCATAGCACGGCACGGGGAGTTGGGGCTCCAGGGCCACCCAGCCCTGCCCTGCAGGGCTTTCTCCACCACCCAAGGCAGGAGATCCAGAGGCCAAAGCTCAGACCCAGCCATGCAGCTCTGTCTTCTTCTCCACCCCTCACAGGGGATCCTATAACCCTTGATCCCACCTAGGCACCCACCTGGAAGTCTGTGACCCCAAAGCTTTAGCCCTGGCTCATCTTCTGAGTTCCATTTGCTGGACCTGTCCTTGGAGATCCTCCTTGCACTTGAGCCTGAATCCATCTAACATCAAACTCCCTTCCCTCCCTCCCAACCTCCCTTGGCAGCACCTGATCTTCTGCCTCCTTCCCCAAAACCATCCAGTCACCAGGGCCAAGGGACTCCACCTTTCCTGTCATACTACAATATGCTGCTTCTTCTCCTCTCCCTCCACTACTGCCCTGCCAGGTCAGATGTCATCTCCTCCAAAATTTCCTCAACCACCCCAGATAGGACCCAGCTACATAATTTGTAGGGCCCAGTGCAAAATGAAAACGTATGGCCCTTTGTTCAAAAATTATTAAGAATTTCAAGACAGTGACAGGAGATGATGAAACCAAGTGAAGGGCCCTTCTAAGCACAGGTCACGCACCCGTAAATTCAACCCTGGCCCCAGGCTTCCTTCTTATATTCCCGCAGAACCTCCCTGTGACCCTGTCGGTCACCATCTTGGATCAAAGGGCTTTATGTACACGCCTGTTCTCCCCTCTAGACTGTGAGTTTCATGTGGAAAGGAGCTCTTATCATTGTATGTCCTGGAAGGCGCATCACAATGCCTTGCATGTTGAGTTGATTTTCAATAAATAGCAAATGCATTACATTGCATCGGCAGATATTTGGATATTGCTAATGCAAAGTGAAACCAGCAGGTGGCACTGTTCCCCTCCCAAGCATTGAGTTTTCATTTATTTATGTGTACTTAAAAACTATTAGGTTCCTTAAAGATAATCTTAACTTGCTTATGCTCTCAGGATCCTTTGGAGGTTTAGACACACAATTCTATATACTTCCATAGAATTTCCAAACACTCTAAAACCTATTTACAGATTTAGTCCTCTTCACATTAGAATCATCTACCGAGATATCAAAAATTAGATATTCGGGTCACAGTGATGCACACCTGTAATGCCAGCTACTTGGGAGGCTGAGGCAGGGGAGGATTGCTTGAGCCCAGGAGTTCGAGTCCAGCCTGGGCAACAAAGGGAGACACCCTAACCCTTCCCCATTCCTCCCCAATCCCCACTATCTTCATCCGTCCACCCCTATTTTTGAAAAAAAAAAATTAGGCATCCAGGTCACACCACAGATCAATTGTATTAACGCCTCTGAGGGTGGAGCCCAGGCATCTGCATTGTTTGCAGAGACCCTCCTATGTGACTCCAGAGAGCAGCCAGGGTGGAGAATTGTTGCTCTAGACCATATTCCTCTTCATTTTATAGATGGGAAAACTGAGGCTCCAAGAAAGGAAGCTAAGGTCACAGCAGGTTGATGGCAAAGATTGTCATTGGTTTAAATCCTGTACTCCTGACACTAAGTCTGGAGCTCTAAGGTTCTCTTAATCCTCCTTCTACCATGCTGCTGTGTGTAGGCAGAGTATGTGTTGCAGGGGGCAGAGGATCGGGGGCGGGATGGGGTAGGCAGAGCGATTAAGGCCAAAATCTCTGTTCTAAAACCTCTCAGTTTACCAGCTCTCATGCTGCCTGAGGTTCCACCACTAACAAGTTCGTCTCCCAGTTTAAGCACTGACCTTGGGGTTTCTTTCTCTTTTTTGTTTCTGTTAAGTAAGGTTTTCTGCAAAGAGAAACTAGTTATAATCACACAGGATGGGTAAAATTGTAGGCACCCTCCTCCCTGGAGAGGACGTGGGTGGCTGAGCACAAGGACCTGTGAAGATGACAAGGGAGAGAGAAAGTGGCTTTAAGGGAAGTGAAACCAATACATCTACATGCAAGGTTTTGCCCAAGGGCCAGCTCTGAGAATACTCACTTAAAAAAGGCCCCCTAGTTAGGCTTGGCTCTTTTCCAGACCCCAAGGGACAAAGGCAGGCAGGGTAGCGGTGGTACAATAATGCTTTCAGAGGGAAAAATGGTAAACACCTGCTATAGCTGGCTGCTTGCCAACAGAGAGGCACCTTTACTTTGGCTAGCTAATGTAACCTAATCATTAACCTCATGGCATCCCATCATATTTACAGGTCCTGCACATACTCAAGGGGAGGGAATTAGACAGGTTGTATACAACAGGGGGCAGAAATCTTGGGGTCCATCTTAGAATTCTGCCTTCTCCCCCAAACCACACAGCGTATCATTGGCAGGGGAGATCTGTTTGGTTTGTAGGCCTTCCCACGGCCCATGCATTGTCTCATGCAGAAGTCAGTGCTTCTGCTGCCTCAGAAGATTAGCAGGTTCATGAACAAAAATGGCCCAATGTTGTCCAGGATCCAGTTTTCATCCCCTGCTCAATTCTCAGAAATAATACTGTGCCAATCGGAGTTAGCTGTCCAGACAGAGTAACACTTGTCCAAGGTTGACTAGTGATGGGGCTGCAAATGAGTGTTGCCTCCTGGTGTTCCTGCCCCTGTGTAGTCTCCTCTCACAATGAATAGGGCTGACCTACATGACCAATATCATGGAAGTGACAGTGGGTGACTTCCAAGACTAGGTCATAAAAGACATCATAGCTCCCACCTGGCTCTCTTGGATTACTTACTCTGCACGAAGCTAGCCGCCGTGTCACGAGGACAGTCAGCCCTGTGTGGGTCCATGTGGTGAGAAACTGAAGCTTTCTGCCAACAGCCAGCACCACGTTGCCAGAAATATAATTGAGCCATCTTGGAAGTGGATCCTCCAGCCCCAGTCAAGCTTTCAGATGAGACTGCAGCCCTGGCCAACATTTTGACTGCAGTCAAAATGTTCTGACCCTGAGTCAGAAGCACCCAGCTAAACTGCTCCTGAATTCTGACCCACAGAAACTATGTGAGATAGTATTTTTGTTGTTATAAGCCCCTAAGTTTGGGGATAATTTCACATAGCAATAGATAACGAATGCAGGGCTCTTCTGGATCTAATACCTTACCCAAAAAGATGGCACTGATGCTTAGAATACCATTTATTGAGCACTTACTGTGTGCCAAGCTTTGGCTTGCCTTTCTGTAGGCTGTTGGAGCACAAGGTAACAGCTGGTGAAAGCTAAAATGTGAACCCAGAGGTCCTGACTCACAGTCTCATATCACATGGCCCTTATAGAAATTTCTGCAACCATGGAAATGTTGTATATCTGCACCATCTAATATAGCAGCCACTACCCATTGTGGCTATTGAGCACTTGAAATGAGGCTAGTGCAACTAAGGAACTGAATTTTTATTTTTGAAATTTTAATCAATTTAAATTTAAATAGCCGCCATGACTAACAGCTACTGTATTGGATAGTGCAGCTCTAAAAGATGTGAGGGGCTTCTGTGAGACACAAGTTACAAGGAACAGAGACCCACTCGAGCCTCAGGGGACTCAGGAAAACAAAATGTAGCAGGATCTCAAGAGAGATTTGAGCTAATATGGGATTTGAGACCAAACTCGTTGCTTTAGAGGGGGTTTGTGGGGGCTGAGCAGCTCCCAGGGAAGGGGCTTGGATTACATAAACCCTGATAGGCAGTGCAGCTGTGAGCAGACTCCAGAGCCTGACTGCCTGGGTTCAAATCCCACCTCCACCACTGGTAGGCTGTGTAGCTTTAGGCAAGTTATTGAACCTCTTAGATGTAGTTTGCCAATGTGTCAAATGGGGATACTAACAGCACGTTCTTTGTGGAGTGGTGATGATTACATGGGTTCAGGTACAAAGCATTGAGAATGGGTTCCTGGCTCATGGTGTGCGATGCGAGGGTTTGCTACAGCTACTACCAAATCCTCTGCATCCTTCCCCCACCCCAGCAAAGCACTGGGCAACATGGTGCCAAGGGAACACGTCCAACGTCCGAGGACCTGGAATTAAGGCTCATCTCTGCCCAGACAAGCTAGGAGCAGTTTGCCCCCTTGGTGACAAGGATCTTACTCACCTCACAGGGTATGAGGATCAAGAGCTGTCAATGGTATTTCCAGAGCTTGTCAACTACAGTGCCTGCTAAGGCCATGCAGGTGACGTGAATGAAGCAAGCAGAGGCTGTGGCGTGGCAGAGCCCACATCCAGATGGGTACCTGACTCTCGGCAACTCCCATTTGTTGCCACTCAGGCTGACAGTTGCCAAATGGTGATTTTTTTTCCCCCCAAAAAAGCAAGAAATCAGGATTTTTATGAGAAACGTCCTGATTTCTATAGATGGCGACTAATTCAAGGATTCTTGTGTTTGTTTTTTAAACATAGGGTCACCTAAACAAAACACTGAGGTAGGAGCGATGTGCTGCACAGGCTACCAGGGTGCATGTTCTGATGCTCCCCCTCCTCTCGGGGCCATTTCCTGCCCCTTCTTACATCTCTGTCCCCTACCACCGCCCCCTGTGTCCGGCACTCCATAGGGGATTTGGTCAAGGGGATTTTTCATGCTCTACTGAGATCAAGGAGTACAGAGCCCAGAAAGGATGACTTGTTACAAACCAAAAGGACAAAGGCAGGCAATCTAGAAAGTACCAGGTTTTATTATCTTTTTATCAAAAAAATCAGTAACAGACAACAGTTACAGACAACAGTGAGAGTTGGCTACAGAAGAGGGGCTCACTCCAACACACGGCCCGAGGTAAAGGGCCCTGGGGGTAGAAGGAGACCCAGCCAGCTGGGACCCTGAGTTGGGGTGGCCACGGGAGTTAACAGCCACTGATGCAGCAAGAGAGGGTGGTTTCCCTCAGCCCAGCCCAGGAGGGTAGGAGGAGACACTGCCTGCCCTGGCTAAGCCACCACCAGGCCTCTCCTCTCTGGAAAGCGGGTGAGTCCCAGATAACAGGGCCTCATCAGCCCTCCCCCATGCTCCCCCCAGCTCAGGGAGACAAGATTCATCTCAGCACAGCCAAGGCTGTGACATGTTGAGCCGGTTTAGTTCTCTAGAGCAGCGCTGTCCACTAGCTGGAAATGCTCTCTGCTCTGTCAATACAGTAGCCACCAGCCACGTGTGGTGACTGAGCTCTCGGAATGTGGTTAGTGCCACCGAGGAATGAAGTTTTAACTTTACGTGACTTTAATTGACTTAAATGGAAGCAGCCACATGTGGTTAATGTATTGGATAGCACAGCACAGCTCTAGGGCTTGGAGAAAGCAAACCGAAGAACACCAGCTGGTTCCCAAGCAGAAAGCAGAAAGGGTAGAACTGTCGACCTGAACTATTCCAGCCCAATCCGGAGAAGGCACCAGAAAACAGGGCAAGACAAAGAGGTAAAAACCCACCCAGCCACATGAAAATTCACTCACTCGACCACCCACCCAACATCAAACTGGATATATCACACTATTTCCTAAAAAAATATATTTATCTATTTTTCTAGAACCAAGGGAAAATAATAATATATTACAAGTACACAGACACAAATATCCCACCATCCCCTTTCATTATATTTAGGGATCTGCTAAAAAACTGTTTCAGCAAAAGCTACTTCTTAGAGGAAGCAGCTTCAGAAAGGGCCAAGGTCATAAGCAGAGGAGCGTAAAGTATAAAAAAAACTGGGGAAGAGGTTTAGTGAAAGAGAGAAAGAAGGAAGGAGTGGCCCTATCTAAAGCTATAAATAGTAAAAAATAAAAATAAAAATCATGTCTCCGGCTCTTCTCTCACTTCCAAGAAACAAATAAAAAAAAAAAAAAAACCATTAAATACAAACTTAGCAGGCACGGTGGAAATGTACAAGAGAGGGAAGAACATCTCAGCATCTCCACGCTTTGCCCGGGCAAAGAGACACTCTGCACAAAGGAATGAACCATTAAAAAACAAAAAATAAAACAAAACAAAACCCTAAAAATAGATTTAAAAATATTCTATAAATCCATTTCAGCATGAACTTTCAGCTCTTTCCCCCAAGCCCCAAATAAAAAAGGTTGATTTCCAAAAGTCACTTAAAAGAGCCTAGAATGGCCCAAGGTATACCACAGAGACTCCCGTAGTGTGATCCTAAGTATCCATTTACAGACACATCTCAAGGTGCAGATGGTTCTAGATCCTTCTCCCACTTCCTGGCAGAGGGACAGGCTGTGATAGGGAGAAAGGAAGGTGGCTGGGGACAGACCTCCAGCTGGGACTCGCACACACCCCCAGCCCCCTGGCTTCAGAGGGCCTGTGGATGAGGCATGTTCAGTATAGGCTTGAAGCTGGACCTAGATTCTAAACTGGAAGTTTAGGAAATGATCCAATCCCAGGCTTGCCTTCAGAAAAGCCAAGTTTAAGCCCAATTTTCTGCCAGGGCAACTGAGGACCCAAGAATCGAGAAGAGCCAGGCAGAACAGCAGAAGATGATGTCTCTTCTGACACTTAAAAGGTAATCAGAACTGGAGATACTGACAAGTCGGTATTAGGTTGACCTCCCCCTATGCTAACGTCCACCCTGCAAAATCCTCCGGCTTCCCGCCCCCCTACAGTCCAAGCCAGTGCCCCTGAGGAAGCTTCATGCGTAGAACTCATTGGTGGGGGCTTTTTTGTAGATGGGTTTCTTGCCCAGATCATAGCTGCCCTCGTCCTTCTTCTTCATGCGGTACACCAGCAGCAGGATCAGGAACACGGCGAAGAGGATGCCCACCACGCCGCCCACAATCAGAGCTGGAGAGGGAGAGGGGGAGAGGCAGGGGTGAGAACTCCTCATCGGGACCTTGGGGTACATCCCCCGTCTCTCCCCAGTCAGTTCTCCGACAATCAGACATCCTCACCACCACCGCTGCCTGTGCCAGGCAAGTTGAAGCCTTATTTAATTTGACCCTCACGACCTCAGTGGTGACAAGGGGGTCACTAGGCATTATAAGTCACTAAAGACCATAGGGCTAGAGTGGTAAGGCCACTATTCCAACCCACATCCGCCTGAGTCCAAAGCCTAGGCTCTTTCCAAACACCAGGCAGATACCCCACGCCCCTCAGCCACAGCTTAGCACCAACTGAGCCAGGAACAGGGACAACGGCAGGCCGTGGAGAACCCCGTGGATGCTTCTCCTCCAGTCCTTAGCACAGGAGTGCGTGCATATCGATGTAGGCCCACACTGCTACAGACAGGGGCGTACATTCCAAATACACACATGCAGAACGTGCTCATGTCCGTACTATTGCGTTATTGATAGTGACACATCACGGTTTACGTTCCCACATAGAACCCAGTGGCAAAGGCCTAGTTTCCATGCCCACTTCTCCCACATCCTGGCTGTGTGATTTTGGGCAAGTTCCTTCATCTCTTTCACTGCAAAATGGAAATAATAGTACCTTTCTCATACATTTGTACTACGGAGCAAATAAATTAATCCACTTAAAGTGCTTAGAACAGTGACTGGCACGTAGAATATTCAAGGCTCGTTAACTGTAAACCTTTAGGGTTTATTTATGTCTGTGCCCCTGAATCAGGGCTACACCACAGTAGGTGCTCAATAAATGACATGCACAGTCGGGCTCAGATGAGCACCTGGCTAGTGCCAGGCAGAGTGGGCTTCTAACCTTGGGTGAGCGTCTGTTCTGTCCACCAGGCCAGGTGGCCCGAATGACTCATTCCTGTCTGTTAGGGGCAGGGATGTCTCGCAGAATCCTTTCTGTGGCAGATTGAGTCCCCTAATTCGGTCTTACTTGGGCTAAGAAGATTAATTTTCCATCCCCGCACACACTACAAATCCATGCACAGAACGGGGACAGCGTGGCACAGAGGAGCCAAGTAAGGCTCGTTCTTGGCTAAGAGCCTATGAAGAAGCAGCGACAGAGCAAACAGAGAGCCCCTGGGAGGTGCCAGAAAAAGCACATGGAATTACCAGGCGTGAATCCCATTCCCATTCCTGTCACTTCTCCCTCTGCTGAGCCCAGCTCCTCCACGAGGCCCTGTCTGGGGCTCCCCACAGGGTCAGGGTTGACACAAGCTCAAAAGCTGACTGTGGCCCGAGGTCCTAGTGTCAGGTCTATCATTTCCCGGCCGTGACTCTGGACAAGTTCTTTAGACTCAGTTCCAGGTGGCTGCAGGGACCCAGTGAGGGGCACGGGAATCACGTGGCATATGGCAACCACTTAATAAAGCTGCTGGTGCTGTTTAAAAGTTACTGGCATGGAAGGAACCACCTCAGCTAGCTAAGCAACATAACTTTTCACATAAGGATCTTATACTTGGACAATTCTCAAATGGAAGATTAAAGAGATGAGCTGGTTTCAGTTCTTCTCTTGCTACGTAACCCAAAGCCTGGCTCTCAGTTTTCCTGTGTATAAGGAATGGTTGCTTGGATGAGATCAATGGTTTTTTTTTTTTTTTTTTGAGACAGAGTCTCGCTTTGTTGCCCGGGCTAGAGTGAGTGCTGTGGCGTTAGCCTAGCTCACAGCAACCTCAAACTCCTGGGCTCAAGCGATCCTACTGCCTCAGCCTCCTGAGTAGCTGGGACTACAGGCATGCGCCACCATGCCCGGCTAATTTTTTTCTATACATTTTTAGCTGTCCAATTAATTTCTTTCTATTTTTGGTAGAGACAGGGTCTCGCTCTTGCTCAGGCTGGTCTCGAACTCCTGAGCTCAAATAATCTGCCCGCCTCGGCCTCCCAGAGTGCTAGGATTACAGGCGTGAGCCACCGCGCCCGGCCGAGATCAATGGTTTTTAAATTTTTCTTGAAAAGTGATAGTACCTTTAGTTGATTAAAGCAAAACCTTGCCAGGTGTGGTGGCTCATACCAGTAAAGCCGAGGAGGGCAGATTGCTTGATCTCAGGAGTTCGAGACCAACCTGAGCAAGAGCAAGACCTCGTCTCTACTAAAAATAGAAAAGTTAGCTGTGTGTGGTGGCACGTGCCTGTAGTCCTAGCTACTCAGGAGGCTGAAGCAGGAGGATTGTTTGAGCTTAGAGTGAGCTACGATGATGCTGTTGCACTCTACCCAGGGTGACACAGTGAGACTCTGTCTCCAAGAGATCCTTCATCTGTCCTGGATGGAGGCAGGACACTGACGTTTGGCACAGAGCCCTTTCCCTATACCTAAGCAGTCCGCCCAGCCGGTTCCCAGGAGACAGGAGTTACCCAGCACAGGCCCGCTCACCAGGCCGGTTCATCCAGACTGGCCCCCAGCCACAGCCTATAAAACCACAGGGAGTTCCCTCGCTACCTCTGACAATATCCTAAGACAAAGCTTTCCCCACAACAGCCCATTACAGTCAAGAGCTCTCACGTGAGGCCAAACTGAGGCCCTCTGTAGGCCTCAGTTTCCTATTCTGTCACATGAAGATACCCCGTGCCCCACCTACAACACTAACAAATCGGAACAGCCCATTGAAGTTCGCAAAGTTATTTCATATTTTATTTTTCATGGACTCATTACACCAATCCAAGGAATTTACCATCCTACTCATTTTACAGATGAGGAAACTGAGGCTCATCAAGTTCAAAAGCTTCTCAGCCAAGGTCACAAGGCTGCCAAATGGCAGAGCAAGGGGACGGGAAGCCAGCTGAATTCTAAGGAGCCTCCAGACTTTGAAGGAAAATTAACTTTTAATGATTAACTCCCAGATGCCAAACCCAGCCTATGAAAGTGCTTTGAAAATTAACTGAGAAGGGCTTAAGGCAAGGGAATGACTCAATGCCTATTCTTTAGAAGCCTTTGATATGCAATTCTTCCTCCCTGGCCCCCACCACCAGGTACACAGTCAGAGTCACCCGTCACCCCTAAAAGGAGGTATAGTCCTTCGATGCCCCAGGGCAACCTGAGTGGGTACAAGGGAGGGGCCCAAGGAGCCTCCACTGCTGGAGGCTTCCCTGCCTGCAGGCACTGTCCCACCCTGAGCCCTCTTCCCTGGCCTTACCTGCCAGGACCTCTGTTCTCTCAAAGATGTTGCTGTCCTGGGCAGTGCTGGACATGGACACCTTGTTAGACACATCCTCATCCCCATCAAAGGGTGAGATCCTCTTGGGGATAACCTCATTCTCCTCCAGTTCCTTGGGTTCGGTGGGGACCTGGCGCCCAGGGCCTGCCCTCTCAGGGATGTGGTTATCTAGAGGCACCTGGAAAGGAGAAGAGACGTTCAGTGCATCTGGGGAGGGACTCAGGGTGGGGCACAGGGACATTCAGCCTGGCGGAGAATCTGGTTCCGCCATCTCTGGCTGAACCACGCGATCCTGGACCAGGAATTGGCAACAACCTCTCCACAACTTTTCTAGTATTATCTGTCCCGAATGGGAAATGAATGTGACCAACAGCACAGGGAAACAGGGGTTCCCAGGCTCTACTGGCCAGTGCATATTCTAGAATAACCACTCTGGAGGCAATGTGGCAAAACCTTAGACATTGCTTGCCTTTTGAGGCAGTAATTTTACCTTAGGGATTCTGTCCTAAGGAGCTAATCAGAGACTGTGTGTAAAAGATGCTTGCTGCAGTGTTATAATGTTACAATATCGAAAAATTAAAACAACTTTTCCATCGATAAGCGGAAATCAGGTGAACCATTACGCAGCCTATAAAAATGACAAGAACATTTAATTATGCAGGGAAATAATCATGACCACTTAAGCGAAAAATGCAGTACACAGAACTATATAAATAATTTTATATCAATGCTAAAAAAATAGCTATAAATGCAGAGAGAAGGAGTTGGTGTTGACAGTGACTATCCCTGCAGAGAGGATGGTCTACCTACAACCCACAGTTAGTTGACTGTCCCAAAATGAGCCCAAGGCCACAGATTAAAACAACTCTTCTTGCAGAGTGGGGTCAGACCCCTCACTTATCCTGCCCAACATGTGTGTCACAGAGGAGCAATGGAGAAGCAAAAGCGTGCAGCTACTTACCAAGGGGTGGATCACTTCAGGGAAGACCCTGGGGTCCTCTGAGTCATCTGCAAGGTCAAAATGGCTATGTGAGTGTGAGGTCCCTTACCCCAGGCAAATGACGCTTCAGCCGTGGCTGGTGGGACTTCTAACCTTACAGCCAGCCCCCAAATGCTCAATGTCCAGCATTCTAACCCCAACCTAAGTCACTCCACTGGTAAAATGTGCCCCTAAGACCTGCCTCCCTGGCCCTTTCGTGGGAATGTGTGAGCTGGTTCTGCCAGCTGCGTGAGCTCTGAGTCCTTGCCCTGTTGAGTGTGGATCCAGAAACCAACAGCAACACCTGAGAGCTGGTTAGAAATGAAGAATTTCAGTGCAACTGGATCAGAATCTGCATTTCAGCAAGATCCCCAGGGAATAAAGTTCGAAAAGAAAAGACTCCGATTGCAATAATAAAACATTTTACTGGGTAACTATGTGAGATGATGGATAAGTTAATTTGCTCCACTACAGAATATATTTCTATATGTATCCCATAATAAAATCTATTAAAAAAAAAAAACCAAACACACATTTACTGAGTGCTTGGTATGTGCCAAGAGCTTTACCTCAGTTCAGTCCCACAACAGTGATGTACTGTCATTGTTATTCCCATTTTACAGATTAGGAGACTGAGCTTCAGAGGTCACACAGTGGAGGTTTGAACTCAGGATTGTGTGATTCCAAAGCTCAAATTTCAAATCATTAACACGTCCCTGCACATAGGAGGGATGCTTCTCAGTAGCTGTCTGGCCTGGAACCCAGGGCCAGGGAATCAGAAAGACCACAAAAGCCACAGGCCCCTCCCTGGTCCAGCCCCGAGAGGCCTCAGTCCCTTCACCTACCCCCACCCTCCACTGAAGCAGGGGCTTGTTCTTGGTTCCCCAACCGCATCTCTGCCCCCCTCACCCCATCCTCACTTCCAAACTGGAACTTTTCCTTTTCCAAAGGAAAACACTCTGTGGGTCTTCCTTCCCCACCCCGACCCTGTCCTGCCACCCACTCACTCCCACCCCACCACACCCCCCACCAAAGGGAGAAGCCTGTGAGGGCAGGTTCAGGCTGGTGCTCAGAAAACCCAGAGCTACAGATGAATTCAAAGCACCAAACAACTTGCCCCTCAGGGTCTCAGGGATGGAAAAGTTTAAACCAGTTACTTCTGTCCCCCCTTTTCTGTGAAGGGGATGTGGGGTACTGTAGGAAAATCCGCACAAAAATCCAAGTCCCCAGGCATGGCTACCTTCCTGGTTGGGGAGGCCACCATCCCCTCCAGGCCTGCCCACCACACCCTCCGTACCCAGGTCTCCAGAGCCGGACAGCTCCAAGTCATCGGGTTCCTGCCCAGGCACCCCCACGTCCTCATCATCTGGTAGGGCTCCCGAGAAGTACCGGCCTTCCAGGAGGTCCTGGGGGTCGATGACCTCAGTCTCCCGGATCTAGGATGAAGAAAAGAGATACATAAGCCAAGATTCCTGGTACTCGAAAGCAGCCCACACCCCAAAAGCCAGTGAAGTGGGCATTCAAGTTCAGAAGGGGACCAGGCCAGGGTCTAGAGACCTGAGTCCTGGATCCCACAATGCCCTAACTTGCTGTGTGTCCTTAGGCAAGTCTCTTTCTCACTCTGAGCAAATAAAAATAGTAAAGATGGTAATAATCACATGATTGGATTACCATCACTGGGTGCCATTTACTGAGCACTTGCTATGTGCCAGACCCTGTTCTTCCTAACTCTAAAGTCATGCTATTAACTTATTTTACATCCGAGGAAATAATTTTCTTTTGGTGGCACAACTGGCAGATGGGGGAGTGAGGATTGCACACAGGCGAGCCCCCGGACACTGTACTCCGCGGTTCTATGATGCAGTAGCAGCTGATTCACACATGGCAGGGAGTGGGCGGCCGGCTCTAGTCTGGCGCAGTCCAGGACACCTTTCCCAGCTGAGTCAGACTGGGCTGGGGCAGATGGGCTGGCTCACCCACACCCAAGACAGCCTGAGGTCAGGGCGCTGCCCAGACCTGGTCACACAAGAGTGCACTCCTGGATTCAGTCTTGTCTTCAAACATCTCCCACAGATCTCCTCTGCTGCCAGCCCCGTGCAGGGCACAGAGAGGTACAGTCCCTGCCCTTACAGACCCTTCATTCCAGCACCCATAATTGTCACTTCACCCCCACCCCATGGACACCCAGCTGGTCACAGCAGAGTCGCAGGTCCCCCCTCACCAAGCAGCTTTCAAAAGGAAAGTGTCAAACGTCCAGGGAGACAAAGAACTTGCCCAGGGCCCTACAGAACATCAGTTACTCTGCTCATCCCGTAGCTCAGTAGAGTGGGAAACAAAACCCCCTCAGGAGTGTAGGAAACATCGGAACGCCCACCACCTTTCCTCCAGCTTCTGGGCTCAGGCTTCTGTCCGCCCACAGAACAGCAGCCCTGAGCAAGGTTTACCATTCCATTAATTAATTCAAACATTGAAGTGCCTACTATTTCCTAGAAGAGTGCCTACTATTTCCTCCACTCTTTGAACTTTAATTAAGTTCAATACACCTCCTCCCCACCCCACCTCACCACAAGACAGGCTCATCTTCTCCAGATGCTATAACTTCAAGGAGGTGGGGGTCTGCTTAGAATCACCGAATACCAGCTTGAGGACCCAGGAAGCTCCTGTCCTCCCCTTTCCCAGGCTTTGAAACAATTTGAGCCTGGAACAGGGCAGTGACTTTCCCAAGGTCACACAGTGAGTTTGCTACATAGCTCAGAGTGGAAAGCCGCCAGGTCTGTTTCTGACTTCCCCAGGCTGCCCTTCACCCAGCTGGGACTGCCAGTGACATGGGGGGTGTCTGAGAAGGAACATCAGTCCCTAAGACAAGGCTATTGTCATTGCAGGAGAGGCCAGGTTCCTCCTGTACACCTCCCATTCCCCCCCACCCCTGGCCCCTGGCTTCCGGTGAGAGGCGGGGAGAGGCGGTGGCAGAACCTGACTCTCATGCCCTCTTTTTCACCCCCAGGGGACAGGATGCTGGGTTCCCGGAAGGGAGCAGGGTCAGGCTGGGAGGCAAGCAGTGGGCAGGCATCACTCTCTCCCCAGGGGCGGGGGAACCTCTGCTGAACGCCTGGCACACACGGGGGCGGGAAGCCAGCAGGGGTTAAGCCCTGGTAAGGGATGACTTCATGACTCGGGAATCAGGAGCCGTCAAGCTGCTGGAATTCCAGCCCCCGCACACAGCACACAGCCCGTGCCTGTGGCTTTGGTTTGGCAAAGGAGGAGAAAGGCTCCTCCGTGGTTGCGCAAGTGCCTACACCTAGGGCGGGGTCCCTGGGCTCCTACCCCCATCTCCCGCTGCAAATTTCCCTTGGGCCCAGAATCTGAAGCAGCAAGACCTCCGGGGCTCCAAGTGACAGGCCTTAACTAAGCACATAGCATGTTGTAGGTCCTCTTAATAGACCCTTTTTTGCAGAGATGGGAATGAGAGCTCAGAAAGATAAAGTCACTTGTCCAAGTCCACACAAGCAGAAGAAAGTGGCCACACTGGACCAGAACCCAGCATGAGTCACTCGGGCTTTTAACCACATACATATAAACACATACGTGAACACACATGTACATAGGGCTGCCAGTCCACCACAGGCTAGAAGGGAGCCCTGTTAAGTGGGGGTCAGAACGAGCCAGGAGAGGGAAAGAAGGTTCTTTGACCACTTGTTGACCTGCAGGGTTCAAAGTCCTCAAGTCAGGCGCTGGGGTTCCATCACCGGGGCTTGTCTCAGGCGGAGACCTTCTCCCCTCCCAGGCCATGGAATGTTGTTTATGCATCCAGCCTGTCTTTTAGTATGTGAAAGTGCTAAGAAGAGTTTCAAAACAACCCATGGGATTAGCGCACTGATTGGCTGTTACTACCTACCTCCGTTTTACATTAAAGAGATAAAGACTAAGAGGGAAGGTGGAGTGTGAAGATCTTGCAGCCAAGTCAGCGGCAAAACCAAGGCTGAAACCAAGATTTATTCCCCACTCAGCCCTCTTTGTGAGCACCTGGTCGTCCCCAAGTCTTCTTTTTTCTTTGTTTGGTTTTTTGAGAAAGAGTGTTACTCTGTCACCCCGGGTAGAGTGCCGTGGCATCATCATGGCTCACTGCAACCTCAAACTCCTGGGCTCAAGCGATCCTCTGCCTCAGCCTCCTGAGCAGCTGGGACTCCAGGCATGCGCCACCATGCCTGGCTAATTTTTTAATTTTTTGTAGAGGTGGGGTCTTGCTATACCCCAGCTAGTCTCGAACTCCTGGGCTCAAGTGATCCTCCCACCTTGGCCTCCCAAAGCACTGGGATTACAGATGTGAGCCACCGTGCCCGGCCCCCAACGCTTCATCTTTATACCAGGTTTCCAGAGAGAGAAACAAGTACTCTAGGGTCACATTGGGGATCAGCAACATAGCCAGGATTTTAGACCCTATTTCAGGTTTCTAAAAGGACAGAGTCTTCAAATGCTGCATTAGATGAGCCCAGATTTCCCGCCTAAAGCAAGACAAGGCACTGGGAAGAAGCTTTGGCTTCTTCCAACTCCTAGTGCTGGTGGGAGGACACAGCGGATTAAATTCTCCCTGGGTGCTAGAGGCAGCCTCTCTGCCCTGTTCTGGCCCCTTCTCCACCCACAACCTCTGCCTAGAGGGAGACTCCCAAGTGGACAGGAGCCATTTAGGACTAGGCCCGCAAGGCCGGACCAAGCCCCATGTGATTGTGGGCAATTGTCCATTTTTTTGTAAAGGTTGGGAAGGCCCCAACAGCCCTCCCTACTCCCACCCTCTTTTCAGACAAGGCCCATTCAGTCTGGGCTGGCTTTGAAGAACCAGGCCACCCAGCAGCCTGGCCCAACCCTGACCAGAGAGGGACGCCGCCCTGCTCCTAGCTAAGAATGTGGTCTGTTCTCCCTAGCTCACCCCCTCCCTGCCCAGGCACATGTGTTCACATGTGTGGGCATGCACAGGCACCCTCTCCGGGCCCCCAGGTCTCCCTGCATCTTTGTCCCTCTCACAGATACGCGATAGAAATTAACTAAAGAAGCCAGTGGGCCTGGGTCCCACAGACCCTGCAGGATCCATGGCTGCTGGGGACCTGGGATTGGTGCCTGGGGAGTTAGAGATCCCAGGTTCTTCCCCAGACTAGCCAGGGAAAAGAAGGGTAGGTGCTCTTTTGTTCTGTAGGGACAAACACCTGCCAACAGAAGGTATCTAAGGCCACCAAGCCCAACCGTCTCATTTTATAACCTAGCAAACAGATTAGAACTAGACAAAGGACTTTGGCAGGGTCACCTAAGCAGCTGGCAGCAAGCTGGAGTTAGAACCTAGGTCTGCTGGCTCCCAGGCCAGAACTGTCTTCCCTCCCCTTCTAGGGTCTTGGCTGCCCCTAGGGGTCTCAGCAAATCCACAGGCAGCAGCTGTCACTCCAGTTATACTACCCATCTCGTCCTTAGGCTATAGGCGTGAAAACAGGAAAAGGCCACCAACCTTATCCCAAAGTCCTATGGCTTCTGTTACCCCAGGAAAAGTACAGGTGACTAATAGGAGTATCCAATATCTGCCCGGCGCCATGCTGGGTTCTTCCTCTATATAAGCTCATTTAATTGGCACAACAGCCTTGTAAGGGGTTCTACCCATTTTGCAGATGAGGAAACGAAATTTGAGCTGAGCCACTCATGACACAGCTAGAAAGCGACACAGCTGGCATCCAAACCTAGATCTTTCCAACCACAACCAGGGCTTCTTGATGCCACCCACTCTTCACCTCTAACCCATCAGCCCACAACACACCGCCTGGGCCAGGGCTCCAGGGCACCCCTTCCCCTGCCTAGGAGTAAACGAAGGTGAAAGTGATATTGCTTAAACAAAGGAACAGAAACTTGGCTGGGGCACCAGGGAGGAGTTCAGGTCAGGGCTTGGTTAACTGTGAACTAATGAGCCTTCCTCCACCTGGCTCCTCCCCAGGGGAGGTAGGGTCAGGGACACACTTGACCCTCCTTTCAGGATGCCAGACCAGAAGGGTAATAACTGAGCAAGTCAGATTTGGCGGGGGCGGGGGGTGTGGGGCGGTGAGTACTCCGGGCTCCAAATGCTGGGCCCACCAGAGTGATTCTGGCAGAAGATCCCCAGGAGGATGAACTGTCACGTCACGGTCACTGTCTTCCCTCCTCCCTTCTGAAGGGTCAGACATTCCCCAGAAAGGGTAGAACCTGGGGGCCACAATCAGCCACCACCCAGAGTGGCTGTTCATAAAGGCAGAACTGTAGTCCTGCCACTTCCTAACTATAGGAGCCAGGAGTTGATTTCATCTCTTAAATCCTCAGTTTCCTCTTCTGTAACCAGGGCTGGTAGCACCTTGCAGGGTGACGAGGATTAAGTGAAATGCATTAGTGTGTGCAAGGGACCCAGCACTTGGCCTGGTACACAGCAGGT